TTTTTTTATTTATTTTAAGAACTCATTCTTCTTTGGTCTTCTTGTGCGAAGCTAAGTTGGGTTTCAAGGAGTCTCTTGGTTTACTATTTATTTCATTTAAAACGAAAGCGTGTAATGAAGAAATTCAGGTCGATGCTACCATGAGACGACAACTATGACAGTTGGTCATAAGGGATCGACTATCGTCCTCCATTTAGATCGACCTGTGTATCTCTTCATTCTAAATGGAAATGAACTTAAAACTCCTTTTTCTTCTTAATTATATTGTTATTTTATTATTCGCGTATTAAATAAACTATTTTATTTTTACTGATAATTAGTTTGTTTCAAGATTATTAGGGGATCTTGAATAAGGTCTAGTCACCCCATGTCGCCTAAGCTGAAGAAGGACTGATAGTGAATTTTCCAAATGTCTATTTGTAGTCTTCACTATGCCACTGAACCTCGCTTGGCCTTGTCTCGAAAGTGGAATTACCGCCCAGTGTCTTCTGCAGTTTCGATCTAACCTGGATTTCTTTAGCACTTGATAGGAATCGAACTCTGGTTGTGCAATGCCTATTTTCGACATTTTGAAACTACGCCACACTAAGGTGCCAGCGAAGACGCGATTTTTTAAGGCAAGCTGGGCCGCTTCCATCTCGTTTGTAATGTGGGATTGGCGGTGAGGAAAACATGTATTGACCATCCAATTATGGGTGTGATGTAGGAGAGGCTTGTCTTACTTTGGAATTCACGTATGCTCTTTATTCGAATGCCTCCCGGATTTGTAGCATACCAAAAAATATGCACTGCTCTCTCAGGGTTTGATTCCTATTAGAGACACTTGTAAGGCCCAGGCGAGGTCAAGCCTGCCTTCTACTTTGGATGATAAAACCCTTTCAAATGCAAGGCTATGAAGGCTAGTCACATCGTTGCCGGGAAATTCAACTATCAGTCCATTCCATTCTGGGATCGAGAGTGGCTATAGCTATTCTTTTTTCTATTTAAATTAATTTATATATAGACTTATTTCACTGTTCGTCATTAACTTTTAGGCATCGCTTCTGTTCAATTATTCATCACGGGACACCAATTTTCTTAATTGGCAGTCCTTCGCTCTTCGACTCGATTTAAACTGATAAATTTGGTTTATGACTATGTCAAGTAGTGGTGAAAAATTGCCATCCCGCACACAAAGCTATCTCATTTTAATCGATTTGTTATTGACTGTTTGTCTAATTAGATTAAGCGTTGGGTAATACCTCGATCTTTCGCCATAAGCGCCCAGCTGTCTGTAGGTAGTACATTTTTCAAGCTGACAGCCTATATATGTTGATATACAAATCTTTTATCCTTCTTTTCTATCCGAATTTCTGAATCCTTGCTTTATAATTTCATACTTTTATGACTGCCTTAGCGAATATGCGCCTACTGAAGTCCACCTAGATATTCTTGTTATTTGAAAAATATCAGTATATATATATATATATATATATATGTATATATAACCTGATGAGCAACTTAGTAATATCTAGGCGCATTCTATGGATGTTGATCTAAGCCGATGAATCCGAGATGAAGGATGGTTGCGAGATGTTGGGAAGCGTCAACGAATGAATTATTACTAAAAATAAATCTTGCGACTATGTTTGCGTTACCAGCTTAGATGAGTAAATGTAATTTGTGGAGCTTGGTAAAGTAAACACTTTCCCTACACCAAAATAGCACTGATACAATTAACTAGGTATTATAATACTATCATTCACGATAACTCTATCAGAGACTACACAAAATCATTTATTTGCAGCACTTTTCAAGTGTGGTTGAAACGAAATAGTTCCTCTGGTCAACTATTTAGTCTATTCTTCGCAGCTATCATGAATTTGACTAATTATATTTTATGAGACCTAATGCCCCTTGTGACTTTTAGTGAATAAAGATTACGTACAATACAATTTTTTAGTGGTTATATTTTGCACATCTATAGACAATGAAATATCTATATTATTAGACTTTGTTGATTCTTATGTTTCAGTAAAAATATGCGTTTTTCTTTGAAGCCTAGAGTTTTACATGAATTATTATTTTATATTATAGCTTTGTATTATAAAAAATGCATATTTTCTTACTGTCGATATCAAAAGGGTTTCTCTATCCGCTCTGATTAATATTATCATCATTATTATTATCAATATTAAATGGTATGGTGACTGAAATACTTAGAGGTGCGGCCACACCACAAGGAGAATCAAGCTAATACTTTCATTTATTTCGAACAGAACGTGTTGGAACTAAGAGGTCGAATGTTGCTGAGATCAGCTCTGATGCCCTCGAAGCCAGGATGGATATGCGTGGACGGTGCTCGGCTGGTCAACGTGTATTGGCCAGCTTAATCATCCGACTTGCTCTTGCTGAAGTATTTTGCCTTCACTGTGGTGTCCTAGCTCTGGATGAGCCTACTACTAACCTGGATAGAGAAAATATTGAGAGTCTGGCCTATGCCTTAGTGGAGTAAGTGAGCTGAGACTTCTTCACTATCTTTATATAGAACCATCTGCATACCGCATTCTTACTTGTATGGGAAAGTAATCACTTAATTATATTGACGAATGACTAGTATACTTTAGCAAATAAGTTCTCATTAAGAGGAGTGTTCACCAGATCAGGAGACTATTATTATCACCCTTCCAAGTTGCCTTTTTTCTGGTGGATTGAAGCAAACGTTAATTTTAGCTGTGAATTTAACTGCACCATATACTCTATAATTGGGTTGTTTTGTGAGATTGACTGCTGGTTTTACCTTGCCAGGGTTCAACCATCCCCTTAAGCATGATTGTAACTCCAGAATGCACGGCTTTAACGGCAAGCACTCCACTACTTTGATAAGGTCTTCCAATGGCAAGTCAGATATTACTAGTTTTTATAAGTTAATCTAAATTATTTATGCGACTTATCCACGTTACTGTTTCTACTTTGGTCGCTTTTGTTGTTATAACACTTATTTATGACCTCTACGAAAGGCATACCTAAATATTTTGACAAGATATCATAGATTGATTTTTTTACAATGGAAATTCTTGCCAGAGTTTGTTCTCACCCATAGGTAGTAATAATAGTAGAAGC